TTTCGTCAGTCCTCGACGGAGATTTTATTCCAAGATTCGAGTACTGTCTCCTTGAGTTCTTCTATCGTCTGGAACTGACGGTTGTTCGCATAAACCTTTTTTACAATGATGTAGCATAGTTTGTCCACCGGGTTCAGATCGGGGCTGCAAGCTGGCCATGTCAGAACTTCGAAATTTTGGGAAAGGAACCAGTCTTTCGTGGAATGATTAGCGTGGATTGCAGTACTGTCCTGTTGAAAAACCTGGTTAGGACCACGTCGCCTGCTCAGAGATGGCACCGGATGTCATTGTAAGACTTCCTGAAAGTTCTTGGAGTCCATTTTGGAGGCCACGAGAGCAGGCTCCAGATCGACATCTTTGCAGAAGGCACACCGTACCATAACGCTTCTTCCTCCGAAATCACTACTCTTTTCGTAAGTCATGCCAGTAGTAGTTGTACTCATAGGGGCCTTCCAAATTAACTTTCTTTTCATCGAAAAATACGGTCTGAACGAGAATACTGGACTGTATGGGTGATCATACTACGGCTGACTACTTTCGTCTAATCGCATCTCGAATTCAACTTCGCGAATTTCAGCCGTGCCTTCTTGTGTTCGTCGGTAAGCCTCGGAGCTTCCTTCATTGCTGCCCTGACAGTGCTGCTGCTCTTTTTCACAGCCTCATTCAGTAATTTTGGACACCGAGAAACTCAACGCCAATCGAACCTTGTTCAACGACAAGGTGTTCTCCGAAAACGTTTTTAGCATTCTCCTCGTTCGCGGTTAGCTTGCGAGGGCGTCCTGATGACTTCGCGAGGCAAAGGTCATACTGCTTCCAAACATATTTGCGACACATTCTCCCCTGTAGAGTTCCCTCCAAGTGCAAATTCTGCTGCACTAGGTTTCGAAACTTTTGCGCTGTCGGGGTGATCTTATACTCATGAAACGGAGGAAAAATAGAGAATAATCTATATAAAAGTTAATATGAAAGTTGAGTAAGCCAAAGCATGTAAAGCACGTACATATATGAGGATTATTGAAGTTGATGAATCTCATGGTGTTGTCTGAAAGATATACGCTTGGCTGCTTATCCTGTAAATACCGATTTCGAGGGCGATCTTATACTTATGGAACGCACGGCAGTTAAGGCAATTAGAGCGAAGTCGCATACATGCTGGCCAAATAGGGACACTAATTCTGTATTAAAAATTATAATACTTGTTCTTATGCAAGACTTGTTAAGCGTGAAATCCCCTCTGCAAAGAGATGGCTGATCTGGTGAAGGATAAGGCCAGAATCCTTATAAGTTCAACCGGTACACAATTTATTGCTTTTGTCATTTCACTCTAGTTTGCTCGAGCGAATCCCAGATGATGGAAGATATGCTTGCTGCTGTCATAGATTGTGACTGCCAGGACAGCTATGCAAGCTTACTGTAACCCATATGTTTGAACATGTCTGAATTATTTATAAATTCATTCGGAATCAAAATGACATGCCACACGAAGGAAAAACGGAGGTCATAGTGTGCCACTTTCATCTGCTATCCTGACGAAAAAGGAAGACTCAGAAAGATCCCGATACTGCAGCACCGCATCTGTCTGAGGGAGAGGAAATATTGCCTTGTAACCGCCTGGTTACCGCAGTTCGTTGTTTAGGCTATATACACATTCAAACGATATTGCCATTTCGAATGAAACCCGAACGCAGGGGCGCATCTCGGAAACCGGATTGATTGACGCCAAAGACTTTATTTTCAACTCATTATTCTTTACTTTTTAAATTCTATCAGGTTAAGTCAATCTAGCTCTATAACCGTCTTTTCCAGCAGGGAAATTGTGCTTGTGTGGGTGCTTTTCAACATGTTGCACTTTTGCCTAATCATAGCATTTTTTGTTAGACCTCCCTAGAGTATCTGTTGCATGTCGATGGCCCTTATCTTTGGCAGCTGACAGACCGTAAAGAAAATGGCATGGCGAGTTTGCAAAGATCAAATCAATGGATTAATTTAGGCGATTTTTACTCTGAGAACGCTTCTGAGCTCGAAATTTGAAGCCACTTATAAAACTAGCCAAAGTCAAGAATCGATGTTGGAGTACCTGCCATAATCATTTCAGTCTTGATGGAAGACAGTAGTCGGCGTAGAAACCGCACCCTTCTTTTCTCCGAGCATCCTAAATGTTCGGCTGCACAAAGTTCCAAACTCTAACACTGGAAAGGTTCTTACGACGCCTACGGTTTTGTTTCGTTTTCGGTTTCGGCTCTTCTTCAGCACATTGTGGTTTAGCCTCTAACATGGATGTACCTAAAAAGCATGATTTCAAGGATTCAGTATAGTACATAGAAAGTTTGAATTACACACTGTTCATCAACCTGGAATAGGCTCTCCAGTCGCTGGGTGAACGCACCAACAGTACCTAGGTACCTCGAGACACTGTACGGCAAGGTAGTTTCTGAAGTAGGCTGGGATTCTTCGGTTGCATATCGAATGGTTGACCACACAGATATAGGCCAAATTCTTTCAAACCACTTAAGATGAATGCGTTTCATCATAACACTCACACAGAATCCGTTGGCGAACATGTTGGTACGTAGATAGCCATGTCTCCATTGTTCTTCTTAATCAAGCTTTTCTTCCTTTGTACACTGCAGTCAAGTCTGACTGTAAACATAACAAACATACGAGTAATGGACCATTCAGTTTTTACGCACAGTTCAAGATAAAAACGATTTATAAAATATCCCCTTAGGATTGAACAGTTCGTTTTGCGAAAACAACAGCTGAAAGCTCTTCCGAATACCCTCCCAGGCAATTGCCACCATGGAAATCTCACACACTCGCACAACCTCAATTTCCACTACTTTTAGAAAGCCTTTTTATTTGCAAAGTCGGTGTTTATCCTCACCGTCTTCTCAACCAACGCTTCCGCTTTTCAACTTAAGAAGGGGGCCTCAAAATTATCGTAAACTACTCCTTTCTCTTCCAGATAATGGTAGATCCATTTGTCTTTTCACCTCTACTTTTTAATACAATTCGGGTTTATAGTTTCTCAATTTCGCTGCGTTAAAATTAATTTCTATTTTCTATTTTATTTTCTATTTTTTTCTTATCAAACCCACACAATTCCTATGCTCTATTTCCTCCCAACTTTCGAAATAAAAAACTGGTCAGCAGTCCCTACCCTTTCCGAACTACCGGGTCATAATCTATTTAGCCAACGTTCGAAATCTCAAAAAAATCCCGGGTGTGGTGCGATCCGTGCGATTCTGAGTGTGCGCGGCAAATTGCGCGGCGAAATTCGGTGCGATTCGAACGACTCTGACGCCTATTATTGAGGCCCAAACTTGAAGTAGAATCCCAAAGCAGTTGCTCATATAGCGCAGCTTCCCTACTAGTTCCTCCTTCGCCGGAATGTTACCCATTGGACCCATTTCACAACGACAAGCACCACCGAAGCCCCTAAACATCATACGGTAAGGAGGTCTCTGGTCTGGTTGACGTAGGGTGATGTGCGGCAGATTTTGCCAAGTTTGCCGGTTCCACGTGGGTGGCCGGCATACCCGTGTCTCGAAGTGCCGGTAAATTCCCATGACCCCACGTGGCGAAGGGCACCATGGCCGGCTGGTGCTGGCTTACTCTGCGGCGTTTGCCCTACAGATCTCATGACCAGGGCTCTCCTAGCCTCTTAAATCCCAATTCTATCGCAAGTAGCAGCCAGGGTTGAGCTTTGACCTCAACGTGTCATTCCGTCATTTTCGCCTCCGTTCTAGGGAATGCTGCGCGCTGAGCGACTCTCTGATCTAGGTCTCTGCTGTACACATCAACCTTTATTATTTGTTGACTAATCCAGAGTTTTATGACAACTTTATCTTAATTTCACTTGTTTGGTTTGTTTAGTTTTATTTCTTCTTTTCTTTCTTTTATGCTGTATGATTATTTTCCACGAACAGCCATATGTCCCAATACAGCGCGTCATGGAACGCATAAATAAATAAATAAATAAATGATGCTTTGCGATTTTGCCCAGGAGCCTTCATGAGATATACTTTCATTCAGTCATACATATTGGGCTAAGAGTGAACTTCGCTGCTACGCAGACCTTCGCCCTGCTTCTTTACACTCCCCCTAAGTATGACCGCAGGCTTCTTAGTTTACCCCTCCTATCTGCAATTGTTTTCAACTTACGGAAGTGCCTTAGAGCTGAATGTACCACCTGTTTTGTTACATCTAGTCTGTAGATGTACAGTGCCAAAAGTGCTTATAAGTGCAAAGCAATGATTGACTCACGGGGTTGTGGCGCTTGCATTACTTTTAAAATCTGCCAAAAGTTTAGTATCGCTAGGAAGGGAATAATGTCATCTACCTTGTGAAAAGAAAGAAATCGAATGAAATGTTGTAAGCGCAGAAAAAATTTGGTATGAGCGTCAGCGCGCACTGTCATCATAATTTTGGTTTACCCTGTAGAGTGCAACCTTATGGAAGACAATTGGTTCGAGTTTGTTTTTGTGGGTAAGACAGGTTTCCAGATATCTATTTGAAACTTATTCTGAGCGCGACCTACTCCAAGTAATCGCTTTTTCAGATCCGCTGTTATTTGAGTAAAATATATTTGAGAAGTTAATCGAGAAAATATGCCATTTGGACTTCCTACCAAATTTGAACACTTCCGGTCCATTGTAACAGGAGTAGTGAACCTACGGTCAAACAGCTATTTCGCGCACGCCCTGCCCCCTATAGGCGGAGTCCAGCAGTGTCGCGTACCATTAGTGTTTCTATCCTGCCGTCTGTACTCCTACCAAATTTGAACATTCTAGATCCACG